AAAATCTGATTTGGCTCACCTCAGGCTGCAGTGTGAACGTAGCCTTTGATAACCTGGATGAATAATTGTCAAAAACTGTAAACTAATACTTTGCTGATGCACCTTTTTGTTGAGCTAGCAATTGTAGTGGATCAAATTACTCTTACATGCAGTTCAGCCATACAATAATTTGTTGACCTTTCTTTGTATTGCCTTGCTAAAGTCATAGACTTTAGAGATGACTAACAAGGCCAACATAATCAAAGCTAATATTGCTGTAAGGAGTCGGTCGTCAAGGGCAGCTGTCTTTCAGGTTTTAGAGGTTTCCCTACTTCAGCACAGCTGATTATCTTTGATAGCTGATTAACAGGCTTTTTGCTGAACTGCAATAATTACAATCAATCAGCTTAAAGATAGGAAGTGACTTTTCTTCAAAATAGTAGCATAAAATCCTTCTCTTATGGTCTTATGGTCTTTTTTTTTTACACAGTATCATCAATGTATGTCTGTCACATTCATAACAAAATTAATAATACCGGTAGTACTCAATTGTATAGTAGTACATTGTGTTAGGAGCATCACGGTATGGTACCACCCTGGTATCACATCATGGTATCACACTGACTTGAAAACAAGGAACTGTTGGCTATGTCTCATACACTATCTATGAATATAAGATAAGATTCCTTTATTGCCATTGCATAAACTATACGCATTATGATCCAGGTGCACTTCATGACTGGTGTCTAGAAAAAAAAAAGATAAACACTATATCAAAACATAACTCCATAAACTTAATGGATTTGACCATGTTGCACAGTACCAGAGAACCCCATGCTCCCTCTTCAAAACCAGTTCGTAAATAAGTTGGTAGGGAGGTAAGTAAAATTTTATTATATAACATTTCAGCTTCAAGGCGTTTCAAAGTGCTTTACGTCATAAAAACATCAGAACAAGTGCAGTAAAAACATCAGGTGAGTACAAAAAAGATCATTAAAACATCAGAATCCTAACTCCAAATCATAAAAATCGTCAAACAGATAAGGATGATAATCATTGGGAGATGTGCATACATTTCAATTTGTATAAGATTTTTTTTTTTTAGTGCAGCTTTTCAGATGGATTTGATTGCAAGGCAAGTTTATTTATGTGTTACATTTCAGTAGAAATAAATTAAGCTCTAAAACAGAAGAAAAATAAAAGCAGAATAAAAGCAATTAATGATAAAAAATGTTATAAAAGCAGGTAGTAAAGCAAATAAAACAATGAGACCAGAGACTTAAACTGATGATACCTCAGTAAACAGTTAACTTTAAACAGTAAAAAGACATTCTAAACAATTGTCTTTTTTTTTTTTACTTTGACTTAACTTGACTACTAATCAAGGGCATCTCTAAACAGATGGGCATTATATAAAAACTGACAGCTGCTTCTCTGTTTTATCCTGAATCTGCACAATCTAATTATCTGTGCAGTTTGGACTCACCTGGTTCAGTGGCTGGGCATAGCAAATACATGACTTGTTGAGCCAATATCCCCCATCTCTGCTACTAGCTCCTAGCCAGACTATTGCAGATTTTTTTGGAAGGTTAATGAGATGGTTGATGACTTTGTGTGTAGTTAACTTCCACAAAAAGTGCCCACACATTCCCATACGGGTAGGGGAATACTGCTTTACAGTGTTAAGTTACTGCAGTGTTTTATTATTCCACCTGTGTTCTTGGATAAGAATTAAGTGGATATTGCTTTCAGGTCGAAATTGTTTTCCAGTTTTTTAGTACTTGCGTGCACCTTTATTTGCTACAGTATGTGTAGAGGCATTACAGAGTTTTCTTTTGATTCTGCCACCTGTGGCCAAAACACTTAACTGCAGCAGTCTTCTGCTCTTCTCTTCACTGTATTATTTTTAATGTTGCACTTACTGCAGAGTCTTCCATTATGTGTGTTTACACCTTAGTGTATCTACATCCTTCCACCTGCTTTTCACTTTGCTAATGAGACATATTAATTTCCCCACAGGGGGAATAATTAGAAATTCTATTCTATTCTATCTTTTTATTCTTTTTAGTATTCGATGTTGGGCTTTTGCCTCTGATCTTCCTCCCTATCACTCTTTAGGAAATAAATGTTAGGAAGAGAGAAAAGTATTGCTGAGTCTCCCTTTAATCTCCCAAAGTTTCCAACTGCCCAGTAGAGGGCGAAACACAGCAGTCAGGTCTTTTCTCCATCCTAAGTGTCCACCACACTCTCATGCCTTTAGTATTTCTTCTTAATTTAGTAATCTACTACTATCTACTACTGATAAACTGGAGATATTTTTGCACTTTCATGTTGCCTTTTAAAAATCATGGATTGATCAAACTATTTTTGTCATGTCTAGATGTAATCAAAATTACATATTTCGTATAGTTGCCAGTCTGCTAAGTCAGAGGTGGTTTATTAGCCTCAATAGACCTTTTGTCAGCCCAAACTGTCCCCTCGTCATTCCTCCTTCCTCTGCCATTTCCCGCCGTTTAAATCCAACAGCATTTTGATTCATTAGCCAAAACTAATACCCTCACACACAACAGTTCTGTTTTATTCTCAGGCAGGAGCCATGTGAGATTTATTATCCCTGCATACCATGATGGTGAAATAAAAGCTTTGGTTATCATTGCCAAAGGGACTAATTATGTGTCAAAATGTGTCTTTGACTCCCCAGATGGAAGTCCAGTCTCCACCAGGAACCACCATAGGGTTTGTCAAACAGGACTGGCACCCCTGCCTGCCCAAGTTCTCCATCCAGGGAGCAGATGGACAGACCGTGATGAAGCTGGTGGGGCCCTGCTTCACCTGCAGCTGCTGCTGTGGAGATGTTAACTTTGAGGTGAGCTTTGATTAGTCCATATAGAACTAGTGTGAGCCCTGAGTGTTCTCCTATCTTTTATATTGAGTTGTTTAATTTTTGCAGACGGAAAGTATCAGTAATATGTAACTAAGAGTAGGGATTTGGATGCTGTTCCTCTACATGAGAAATGTCTGTTTCTAAAACATTGAAGTTAAGGTGGAATTCATAGTAACATCAAGAACATGTATTGCATATTTATAAAGTCTTCTTGGCATCCTTCAAAGGTGATTTGGCTGGGTACTTCCCTCCTTTTACTCATTTTCTATACAAATGCATCCATAAAATCTTATAGAATGGCCCCTTGATGGTGTTGAAGTCTCAGATTGTGATATTTATATAGCTAGAACCTATAATGCCTTCTTGTTTTTGTGCATTTCTTTATATTTTTACTTCCTTTCTCATAAGATATAAACTGTAATCTAATAAATTTGGTGACAGAGATTTTCATAAATGTATTTGAGATTTGATGTACTTCATCAATGTGTGTGCAAATATTTCCTGGTTTCGAACTGGTGCTTGTACTACTTAGGTGCGCAAAGGCATTAATACGAAAATCTATTGAGCCTCTGTGTTTTGTTTTTCCCCTGCTGTATAGCTCAGAGGGAAAGATGGTGAAGAGTCGATTGGTCGGATCAGTAAGCAGTGGAGTGGCCTAGTGAAGGAATTTTTCACAGACGCTGAAAACTTCGGCATTCAGTTTCCCATGGACCTAGATGTGAAGATGAAGGCTGTGCTCCTGGGGACCTGCTTCCTCATCGTAAGTCCCATAATATGAATGGAGGTGTTTAATCTGTTCTTCTGAGATCTTACTTAATGTTTGTTTTTCATTTTTTCTGTCCTGCAGGACTTCATGTTCTTTGAGAGAAACTGAGGGGCTAACACCAAATGATTTTTTACCAAATGAAGGGAAATCAAGTACCAGAGCCCACTTATGTTATCCAGTGTTTGTATTATTGTCTTCTAGATTCACTCTTCAACAGAAGATCTACATTTCATTAATAGATATATTAAGGATTAATCATAAATGTAACCTGCTGATTAGATTGGGTTTTTTTTTTTAAATCTGTCTGAGCTGATTCTACCTGGAATATTATAGATATTCCAGGTAGAATCTTCTGTTTCTTTCAGTCTGAACTCAGTGTATCCAAATAATGTTTATTATATTTTATCATATTTCAAATTTCTGTCACATCTATCTGTGCTCTTCATTGTTATTGACATTTTTGTAACCTCTCTCATGAGGAATTAATAAAATAAATAGTACAATTATAATATTCTCATTGATCTAGATGTATACATTTTTTTTTTTTTAATGTTATGACAGCAGATGGTTCTAAGTTTTGGATGAGGGGCCTGTTTCACAAAGCCGTTTGACTAAAAATGCAATGTGCCACTAATGCTGTAAGCATTCAGTTTCTTTTGCCAGTGTGCCAGTAATCTCTCTCTAAAGGCTGGAAATTAAGCCGTGTTGTGTACATTGTGTTCAGTGAAGATAGTTGTCATAAATTGCAGTAATTTTTTTTTTATTGTTCATTCATGCAGAAGTTGCTCACTTCTATTGTTGCTCTGTAGCTTCTGCATTTTCTTTTATAGACAAAAAATGTATTTATCTGAGATAACATTAAACGTTTTCTTGTATTATTGTTGCTCTTATTTTGTAATCTTATTTAGTAAACCTCTGATTTTACAGGAGAACTCTTACACTTCATTGAAATGAGTCCAAAGTCAGAGCGCACTTAGGTACAGTAAGTCTCTATCTTTCTTGATAATGCTGACAGAAAGATAAAATATGCCCTACTTTAGGGAAAGAAAAAAAGGGAAGATCATTAATTGCCCTAGTCATTAACACTAGGGCAGATTAAAAAATCAGATTAAAAAATAGTAATATATTTGATTTAAAGCGAGTTTCAAACCCCCAAGGACACTCAACAACAAACAACCAACTATACACTGCACTAAAAACAGGACAGGTAATCAGTGGAGGTATCATCTGTTGAACAGATTAGTTTCTTAGTATTGATTTAAAAGAGTAAAGTATCAGTATTGCGAATATCAGGAGGGAGAGATTTCCAGAGTTTGGGAGCAGAGCAGAACCTTTCCTGCATGTCTTTGCCCTCTCTAATCCCAGATTTTTTTTCTTGCCTACTTTCAAAAATACAACAAAAATATAGCCCAAAATGCCTAGAAATAATCTTTAAAAAATATTTTATTTACAAAAACTTAACATTTTGACTAAATAACGTCACACAGCAAAAACAATCTACCAATAAGTAAAATGTCGGAAATTAAGTGTATTTACCCTTAATTTCAGTAGATAAATAAGATGATTTGCAAACAGAGTATCTTTACTCTTAAAATTAGATAATTAGATAACATGGACTCGAAATAAGACAATGCAATTGTTTTTCTTATTTTAAATTAAAATAAATTGTCTTACTCCATTTGCAAAGTGTTTCACTACCTCTACAGTTCAAGAAAAAATATACTTATTTTAGGAAAAAATTATGTATTAAATTTCAATTTTTTGCAATGCAATGTTATTATTTGGGTGAAGTTTCAATGAAGCTTGATATTGAATTAATGTCAACATGACACCAATAAAATCACTGACATACATCAAATGAATGTCAAGCTGATTTAGGTTTTTGGCCAAATTTTAAAGACAATTTGATGTCATTTTGATGTGGAATCGACAACTTTTGACCACAAGGACGTTATTTTAGCACAGGGTTCTGCAAACCTTCAAATGCAAAGAGCCATTTTATCCAGTGTCCTGCAAAATGGCATTTGTCTAGAGCTGCAAACTATTACGTGGTGTTTAAATAAAGCACATCTTTTTTTTTTTTTAATCAAATATGTTCTCTAGGAAATCTTGCCATTTTTTCAAACAACAAAAAAGTTATTTGGATTTTATTTTTAACCCTTTAGAGATTTTGACTGAGATAAGGAGAAAATCATGAATATTAAAAAAGCATTGTCAGCCCAGTTCTCTTCTTGATCATGATAAATATTGTGTTTCATTATGTTGTGTTTTTGGAGTGTCATTGTTTGCAGATGAGGAAGCCTACTGAAAAGATGAACAGTCTTGGATCTATGGTTAGGAAATGGAAGAGGCAATCCTGGAGGTACAGGCATAGGATTAAAAATAAAGCTATTGGTAAAGACTAAAACAGCATTATTTACCAAAAGGATAAAGCCAATTAAAATAAATCTTTGGATGTATGGAGAGCAGTTAGAACTAGAAGAGTCCCTCAAATAATTGGGAATTTGTCCTATAAAAAGAAAAATCCACCTGGACAGTGTATATTGGAAATATGATTGATGAATTCAAATAAATCATCTAGATGTTTTAGAGGTTAAGGGTGTGTTGAAGAAAGGAGAGCAATAATTACATTATACATGGTATTTGCTGCTATCTTCAAATATCCATTACTGTAAAAATTTCCATAGCTGCATATTAGTTATTTATTCTCCAGGTGCACAGTATTTATATTGTTAAAACACTTTACAGTACAGTATTTAAATTAACTATTTTTTTTTTTTTACTTTTCAAGATTATGTTATTCTTATACATTTTTCTAAGATCCATATTTGTGTGACCATTTTTCTATAATCTTTTTGCTGCTGTAAACACCAGAACTTCTCCATTGAGGGACAATAAAGGGATTTTCTATTCTATTCTCTTCTCTCCTCTCTCTGAATCCATCTTACCAGTGCTGTGCCATGTTTATCAAATATAGAGTTTTTTTGGCTTGTTAGATCAGACTCAGCTGGCTCGATGTGTCAATGTCAATGGTATCATGTATTTTAGCAGGTCAACCCGGCTCTGATGTTCCCACATCATGCCGATCAGAGCTGAGGCGATTTTAACGTGGGTAGCCTGCCAAGTCTTTTGACCCAGGTATGCACGAGACAGTGAGCTGTTCCTACTGCAACTAAAAGCAGATTATTCCAGGGTTTAAATGGGTTTCAGCCAGTGGCAAAGTGGTATTAAAGTTGCTTGCCAGTCATCATTAAATCTGATGAAGAAACAACTAGTCTATGAAGGTAGATTTGTTTCTTTATTA